TATTTGAGTGAGTTAAGGCATTAGTTTGCTTCATTAAAGGGTGTTAATGAGTGTTCTCCAGTGCCTTTTGTCCGCTTTAAGGTGTTATTAAGGTAGGGTTAATGTTGCTCTCAAAGTGCACGAGATTGATGCTTTCAACTTCAATATTTAAAAAAAATCTTCCTGGGGGAGCATGCCTCTGGACCCCCCGAGAGGAGGCGACGACCCCCCTAAAGGATGTTCGGTCCACCCCCAGGCAGGGGTAGCACTGTACCCCTGCACCCCCCCCCCAACAACTCCTGGGCTAATCCCCGGATCTCCTACAATCCTAAATCCGCCACTGGTGCCTTATATAAGGAATGTTTCAACCTTCTTGATAAATAACAAAGGGCATGTTTCTTAAAAGAGGATAGTATTCCCCCACGCTGCATCTACACCTTAATTAGATATGCAGTCGTAAAAAAACATATGAATATTACAATTAATAATATATGGCTTTGGCTTTTGGCTACAGTAAGATCTGAGTCAGGGTTGCTCTCGCTGCAAGTTTCAAGGAACTGCAAATGTCAGTTGTGTTTTTTTTTTTACCCATTTCAATTTAAAATATAGGCTGTACTTTCTACTTTTATTCATAAACATTTTAAACAGTGAAACAAAGCATGTTCAAGACAGAGAGACAATATTTTTGAGTGAGGGTCATATATGTTGTTTTTGCCTTTAAGGTATTCAAACCAATTATCATGTACGATGGCCGACAGGTGCAAACACTTCCAGTAGGAGAAACATTGTGAACATATAAAACATGTGCCAAAGCGTTTTGTATTTGTAGCATTTCTTTTATAGGGCAGCGGTTGCCAACCTGCGGGCCGCGGCACCCTAGTGGTCCGCGAAGGCATTGCAAGTGGGCCGCCAAATAATTTGCAAAACATTATGATTTGTGTGGAAACATTTAAAAATTAAGATTTTCCTTTTTTTTTCTTGATCCTCCTTAGCAACAGTCATTACAGTCCTTGACAGCGGTCTGTACTACTGGATTACCTACGTGTCACATGTTCGGAATTGACCAATCAGAATCGAGTATTCAACTAAACCGTGTAATAAAAATGTTTGTTTGTTATTGATGGCCAGATTCTTTTCTAATTAAAATAAAAAGTAGTAAAGTAGAATTTTATTTAGCTTCCGTATTGTATAGGCTATGGTTGAATGTGGGCCGCATATCTTTTTTAGATTCCTAAGTGGGCGCTGAGTTGAAAAAGGTTGGGAACCGCTGATCAAGTGCTTGAAGTAACACTGTGCATGTTTTGTTTGCACACGTTGTTGAATGTTCTCAAAATGCTGCTTATGTGTTAGAAAGTCGGTGAAGATGTTTTGGCATATTTGTGTTCTTTATTTAAATCGTTTTTGAAACTGCAGCGCATTTCTCCTAATGGAAGTGTTTTAGTCCATTGTGTTTGTACCTGTTGGTCACCGTCACAATATGTTGTGCTCCTTACACACAATGCACCACAAAGTCGGCATTCATTCAATCTAATTTAATTTCGAATACAATATATACAGTACAACATTTGAAATGATACGTGTAAAAAAATATATGTCATCTTACAATACAGTACCATTTAGAGAACGATGGAAAGTAAAACAGACACGGAAACAACATCGTAACACACTCGCTCCACTTAACAATACACAGCACATGTGAACTCCGACCAGTTGTAAGGTAGTATTGGTACGCTTCTACAAACCCAGTACAATTTAATTAGAAGAATCTGGACAATAATTCATTGACATCCTGACCTAAAAAAGCAGTTGTTTTATCCACTGAAAGATTTTTGTTCATGCACTTTGTACATGCTCCACTGGAAGACAGCTCACATTTCATATAACTCCAACCACATGTCATATTCACATTCATCATTTGCTTGTAACTTTTGGGGGATCGGACACTTAGAGCCAATATAATGAAACAAACATGTACATGCCTGCAAGTGGTTTACAACCCTGTTCCCTTTTTTCTCACAGAGATCTAACTACTGTAGTGTTTGATTTTTGACAAATGTACAGCGAGGATGGCCATTTATTAGCGGTAGGTAATCAAGAGAGGGAGATACATCCTTCAGTATTAAGTCAAACAACTGATCCTGTGCACACTGTTCCCTCAAGGCCCCAGTATGGATTGTGGTTTCAAAACATGCTGCCAATAGCAAAGAGTGCTGTGCGCTGCAGTTTGCTGACATCCAGTTAAGGAATTTATGCAGATTCTGTTGTGATCCCAGGATGTAAATCTGTCCATAAATCTGCAGGGTGCTGCTTGTTTTGGCTGCCATCTTGTTTCAAATAAAGATCACACAGCAATTTCTCCTCGAAAACTACCAGCTTGTTTGGACACAAGCCCGATCAAAGCCATCCATCACACTTGTGAAACAGCTAAATGCCCTGCGGTGACATCGTGTGTTTATAGCTCATAAGCAGGTAATACTAGGCTAAATTGGCACCATGGTGTGCGTCGTAAAGAATAACACAGCACATTGTAGATTGTGTTTCCGAGCGTCATCCATTCAAACAACATCCCCCTCCAAGGAGCTGATCCATGCAGGTCACGGAACCATTCACCAAAATGAATAGCGACTTTCCAAGGGAAACGCAGAGGAAAAACAATAAGCTATATTGTGGTGTTGGTGGTGGGCATTCTAATTTCATTTCAGATAGCACATGGGGGATTTGCTGAGGAAGGAGTTTGAGGTGGCGGTACAAGCCAATCTGCAAAAGGTCTTGATCTGTGACACTGAACAACACCTTGAGGGAAAACACGGAGCAGGTGGCTATCGCTACAGGAAAGCTGAACAAAGCGTCATTAAACTGTCGCTGCATGCTTAATGACGCTCTGCTTCCACCTCATGTTCTTTAAAAAACATCAGTGTTGTGTAAACATTCACCTCTTTATTGCATTGGTGAGCGGCTTCTCGATGGCATTCAAAAGTAGAATCCGTCACTGATAGGTCAAATAAACATGGGACATGACGAGGGTTTTATCAAAGCATGGCACTGAATCGCTCCGTGGCTCACTGAGATGATGAGTTAACACGTGCAGCGTTAATTCTCATTGGCTGTATTACAACGTAAAGCAAGGTGGAAAACTCGTAAAGGATCTTCAAAGGAAAAGCAAGTTTCCCTAAAGCAGCGGACTGCATGAAGCGAGAGCAAAGATCACAGAGGCAACGATATAGGAGCAGAAACATTGGAGTAGTGAGAGCGCAACATCGGGGAAAGAGCTAATTGAGATCCTATAGCTTCAGGGGAGATGTTGTTTTGCTGGTGTAGAGAGTGAGGCAAACACAGACCAATTTACTGGGGGGAAATTGTGCTGTGTTGAAAAAAACAAGAGACCTAAGAGCAGACCTTGCCCATTCTTCAGTGTGCAATCTAATCTCAGCTCTTGGAGAAGACGGGAGAAAACAAACATTGTTCTCCTGTCAGCAGCCCTGACAGAACAAACTGTACAGCGCCTGGAAAAGAGCTCGGCCCACTCACACATGCTCAAACACAGCGAGAAGATGATTAAAACCAGGAGAGAATATTTGAAACTGAATAAAAGTTAGTGTGACATGAGGAATATTAAAGGCAACACTGACCTCTGCTACTTCCCTGGGAAATAATTAAGGGCCAAATGGGGACATTCTCACGGAAAAGATCCTGGAGCTACACTTGCAGGCTTAGTATCAGTCGTGACAAATGTACAAAGACACAATAGCTTTAATTGGATGGTATTTTCAAGGAGAACAAGAGTCTGAAAAATAATTTAGGTACACTTCATATTAACTATCCTTTGTGTTCTACGGCATTCAATTGTAATACAATTAACACAACGGTATAAAATCAGTAGGTTGCTGTTCCCTAAGTCAAATTTGTCTTCATTCCTCACTTGAAGCACCTTTCTGAACAGCCTTCAAAAACATTCATAAATGATTGGTTCAATGCACTCTACTAATGACTTACAAATATGTTATCTAGGGCTGGGCGATATCGTTGAAAGAAAACCCATGATATTGACATATGGATACTGATGTATCATTATTTAAAATGACAAAAGTCACATTAAATGCAAGGAAACCTTTTTTAACTGTTATGTATTTAAATGTAGTTTAGAAGAATTGGAGGAAAGGGCTAACCCTAACCCTAATCCCTTCCTTGGTGATTACATTCTCTACAACTCCCATGAAAAGACAAAAAAGGCAATGTCTTTCTGTATCTATTTCTTTCCTTCAGCCCTACACCCCCTCTCGTCACCTGTGGTCCTCTGACAAAGGGCTGCTCTCCATCCAGCGCTCCAAGATGAAAACATTTGGCAACAGAGCCTTCAGTGTCGCAGCCCCCACCCTCTGGAATTCTCTCCCCTCTGCAATCAGGAATGCAGACACTCTGGACACCTTCAAAAAACACCTCAAACACCATCTGTTCACTCAGGCCTTTGGCCTCAACTAATATACAGTACTCAGCAACCTGTTCCTGTTTTGTTTTCTTCAGCCTGTGTATCTGTATGATTATTATTACTTTTTGTTTTGTTACTTCCCATTGTAAAGCGTCCTTGGGTTTCGTGAAAGGCGCTATATAAATTGAAATTATTATTATTATTATTATCTTTCTGTACTCGGGAGGCGTGTGGCGCAGTGGGTTGTGCGTTGGTGTTTGGATCAGGGGAGCATAGGTTCAAACCCCACTGCAGTCAGCATGTCGTTGTGTCCCTGGGCAACACACTTCACCCCTCCTGTGGGGATTGCCCAAAGTATTGAGTATGTTAGTCGCTTTGGATAAAAGCGTCTAACAATTGACATGTAAGGTAATGTATCTTACAGTAGTTTTTGACTTTCCTACCCTGCATATGGACCTCAGCCCGAGCTCCTTTATTCCGACTGAAAACATAAATCTTTAAAAACAATTTTCAGCTGTGGATTATTACACGTTTGGTGCTCTAGTGAGTATTTACAGCAGCAGGACGGTGTAAGAGGGACTGACTCGAAATGAACTACAGTGCCCAAGTTTATTGTAATGAAGTACTGTAACATGCCATCCAATGAAACAGTATGGCTCACTGACTTTAATAGTTTTTCGAAAACAAAGGAGCTCTATGCCACAGAGGAATAAGATATATCCAACTTTAGACTAGGGAGATACTTCTGAGTGATGAACTAATTGTTGGATTTGGTCTTTTCACTGGATTTGTACAGAAGAATGTTACGTTTTATCGATATGATATCCCTTAAAGTTGGTCAAACACACCCCTGAATTATCGCCCAGCCCTATGTTTAACAAGGCTATCAAAATCCGAAACAAGTAAACATTTAAGAAAACATACGTTCATGAATACTCTGAGGTCAGCTGAACAGTCCTGACTGGGAAGATACTCCACTAAGATAACAACTTGCAGGTATAAAAAACTATAGTGATTTGCAATCAAAATTAGTATCAATAAATACGTACAAAATTAATAAATAAACCTGGAAATACATAAATTAGTAAATAATAATAACAAAAACATTTACCTCTATGAGATACTAAGAGTCTTTGTGTACAGTCCTTATTGGCTGGGGGGTTGTGTAGTCCATAAACTTATACTTCTAATAATGAGCCATTCTTTCTGACTGGCTGTCACCACAATACGAACACACTCAATGTCAAAGGCAATTTTGTGGTCTACGTCTTGAACCTCAATGTTGCCATTTTTAAACTCCCCCAATGTGATATAAGAGGAACACTGTTTCCCTTTTTTAGTTCCTACTAGTTTCTCTCCTACCTCCAGCGCTCCGTGGTGGAGAATGTCATTTTGACGGTCATCAGAACCAGTGACAATCTTGATTTTACTAATTTTGGTAGATTTATTAAAGACTATGACAAAGAAGTCTCCTGTGGAAGGTGGCTTCCCCCAGAAGTATTCGTCCACAGTGCTGTAAGCCTTGGTGGCGTCGTAGTTTTCAAAGACGTTGATGTTTGTGTAAAGGCTGGCAGGAGGGTTGTCAGGAATGTCTATGGAGTCTTCCTCGAAGTCGTCGTCCTTCAGCTTGTTCTCCGCTCCTTTGTAGGAGGAGTAGTAGCCCATGTGCTGGAACAGCGAGGGCTTGAAGCGGATCACGTCCTTCTGGGCCAGCAGACCCCTGAAGTGGATGAGCAGCCAGTCGCAGGGCATCTCCTGGTAGAACATGAGCAGGAAGTGAGCCAGGCGGGGCAGGTCTCTGGAGTGGTACAGCTTCCCGATGTAGCCCAGCTTGGAGAACTCCAGCATCACCCAGTAGGACCCTTCTCTGGAGGTGATCACCTTCTTCAGCCCCGTCAGGAAGTTCCTGGAGCAGCGCACGTCGTCCTCCAGCATCATGTAGAAGTGAGACAGGTTGGTGCAGAAGTTGAGGAGGAAAGCGTAGTCCACGTTCTGCTTGGAGCGGAACCGGACGCGGTCCTCCGGGTCGTTGTAGTTCCTCTTCAGCCCGTCCAGAGAGGGGTAGTACTCCTCCGGGGCCTGGATCACCAGCAGGCGTCCCGCTATGATGTGGTGAGCAAACTTCCTGGTGATCTCCTGCACCAGGTTCTCACACCAGGCCAGGTCAAAGTCTGCCAGGTGGACCACCACCACAATCTCTTTCAGCTCCTCGTAGCTGGACTGATCGAAGATGGATTTGATCGTCTCCAGGAGGTAGTTTCCTCTTTTTCTTTTGACTGATGACAGTCCAATGGTGAGATACTCTGTGAACAAAAATGATGTATGATGTAAACAGAGGTTCTTTCAAATCCTTTAGCCAAATCAAGGGTCCTTCGTAGTCCAACACAGAGAAGCCCATTCACTAACGAAGACTGTAAAAAGTCATTAAAAGTTATTATGGTAATATTAACACATTTTTCTCAATTAGAAATATTCATTTCTGTGATATAGTTATAGCCAGTGATACGTTTCTTTTCTCGTCCATTGTGTATTAAACATTAAATTAGAGCTTTGTTCTCAAGGTAAAACTTCAAGAACTAAATCATGGTACACTTGAACAGACAGGCGTAGTGTTTAATTTCAAGGTAAAAAGGTCTCTGTGGAGCAGTTCTATTTTATTGCAATGCTTTAAAACCCATGTCACAGATTTTTAAGTTTTAGTTCTTCTCAGCTCCTGTTCACAACCACTCTCCGAAAGGTAATGAAAACAGTCAATGTAAATGTCTTTTTAAACAAACACTAAACGTACTCTTGCGGTTCAACGGCGTGCCGGCGAGATAACGATACGTGACATTAATGCTTCCAGAGAAATTACTCAGGTCTCTGAAGGTGTGCACGTATCGCTCTGAGCTCGACGGGTGGACGGATGTTTCCCTGAGCTGCCTCTTATCTCCTTCCTGGAACACAGCATGAAAAACATTACATTGCATTATTAACAAAGGAGAATAAGAAAACATGTTCAAGCTGTCATTACTACTGTGAGAAAGGGACAGGAAGTCTACTTGAAAATTACAATTTCTACTGTGAATAATTCAAATGGGTGGATTTTCTTAAACTTGTCTCCAACATCCTGTACAAACTTGAGACAATATGTGTTTAGACGTTACGGAGCTAACCCTGGATGTTTGGAGACAAAGGGACTCTCAAAACCCCCTTCGGCAGTTTGCATAGCCGAGTAAATGGACTTGAGAAGAGCACCAGAGTGCTGAAGATGTGAACTACTTCTTAATAATTTAAATAACAAACACAGCTAATGTACTGCGATCACAACGTTTTGATGGCATCATGAATAATAAATATATCGCGGGATGATTTCGACTTGGGTCCACGTTATGAACATTTTAAACTAGCTTCTTTTAAAACAAGCAATTTCAAAAGGGACAACATGGGATTGGGTAAACTAACACAAGGACACAGTGAGCATATTTGGTTTGATTTGTTCTTCCGACATTAAGAAGGAATACAATACTAAGTTCATTTAGAAGTCCAATTTGGGAAATGCTTGCTAAAGACAAATACTAACCAGCACGTAGCCATCTTCAATGTAGAGGTTGAGGAAGAGGAGGAAGGTGATGAGGAAGCCGAGGAAGGGGATGGTGGAGCGTTTCCTCAGACACCTCATCTTGTCCAGGGACTTCCACACCAGCCTCATGATGAACACGCTCTCACTGGGATCTGCATGAGAAGCACATGAGAACAACACATTAACACTTGCTTTGAATGTCATCAGCTTGAAACGCGGCTAGCCAATTGTCTTTTTTATCAAGCATCAACACAGGGGTGTCCAAACTACGGCCTGGGGGCCAAATGCGGCCCGAGGGCAATTTTAGCCAATTACAAAAATGGAGTATGGACCACAGATGAAATGTGTGCTTGTCTTGTATCGTACTTCTTAAAATATAGATGAAAAAATATATTGCACAGTATTCAGTCAGTTAAAGAAAAAAGTCCAATAACTTATTTTCACAACACGCTTGAAATAAACCCTTCCTCCTTATTATAATCTGAGGCTTCTGTTTGAAGAAGCTGCTAACAACATAAATGAATCCCTCTGGAGAGCTGTGTAGGCTGTTGTCTTTCTTAAAGCATATTCAACTATTAAGCACCATTGACCTACATTTGATTTATTTTGCTGACTTATAAATTAACTTATGAGGCGATATACCTCTAGTGAGCGGCCCAGCCCTTCGTATATTTTTCTGTATGTGGCCCTCGGTGGAAAAAGTGTGGACACCCCTGCATCTACAGATTGTGGGAGGATTCATTTTAGGCCATGTATGAAGTGATTGGGATATGGGAGGTGTGTGGCGCAGTGCATTGTGCGTTGGTTTTCGGATCAGGGGGTCACAGGTTCAAACCCCACTGCAGTCAGCATGTCGTTGTGTCCCTGGGCAAGACACCCAAATTGCTCCTGTGGGGATTGCCCACAGTATTGAGCATGTAAGTCGCTTTGGATGAAAGCGTTTAACAAGTAACATGTAATGTGATTATCTTCCACGAGCATGCTATTTATTTTTCTACGGACTTGTAATGGTGCCTAATAGTGATTTTTTTGTTATCCTTTTCATGGAGAGAGGTGGACCAACTCTGCTGTTTGGCTGATTGATTCAAATCACTTACTGTATGAGGAAAGCAAAGGGCACTTCAAGACAGAGGATATTGACTGGCAAAACAATGGATTACTGATGAAAATCAAAAGTTGCAAGGCCAATAATAATGAAAAATATCAACCATTTAACAAATCCCTAGCCTTACTGGTAGTGTAGCTGCTGCTGATGAAGGGTGATTACGTTCTCTATGCAACTAGCTTTCTTTTCTTTGTTGTGAAATTGTTACTTGTTTTTGTTACACGCCACCATTACTCAAGAGAAAAGCCAATTTTCTATTTCATTTCAGCTCACTTTATTTCAGACTTCTGGTCCGTAGAAGAAAACAAAAAGATATAAAAGGAAAACTATGAGAAGAAAGAGACAAAATGGAGTATAACAATGATTATGAATTGAATTAATCTTTTGTGGTTTTGCTTGATAAAGCAATGATTCAGTTTCTCTACTGGTGCAGAAGTTTGATGTGGGGAATAAATCCCTTCTGGTTTCAAGGTCCTTCAAAGCTTTGATGACAAAAACTTGAAATTTGAATAAAGCTTTCTTGTAAACAACTCTTTGATGCCTTGATCAATTGAAAAGACGCCTATTGTACAATATAACGCAATATATTGCAACCTATTTACATAATATTTTGAGAATAAGTGTCCGACTTATGCTGATATGTAGTTGTAAGTACATACAGATAGATATATGCTCTTGCTCCTATCTCATGTAGGTAATATACATTATATGGGGGGAAAACAATAAAGCTACATATCATTACATACATTGAATTGATGCATATCACTTTATCTCGTCATTCAATTACTCATGAAGTGTTTCTGTCCCCAACAGAGATAACATAGAAGAAAATCACAATGTCTTTCAGGTGCTGAGAGCTAAATGCATATATATCAGGGGGTTTATAAGCAAAGCTATAACATATACAGCTTTGAGGTAGAACATATCAGCCTCGGTCACAACGGGATTGACAACTCCTCACAGCAACTGTACAGCTGAGACTGACTGAAGGAGAACAAGCAGCAGAAGTAAAAGCCTACAGATGTAACAATGGCATTGCTCTTTTCTTTGCCAGCAATTAGGCATCAGCATGTGCTTTTGTTCCACTGCTGCAAAACCCCAGAGGTGCCTAATAGAATACAAACTACCTCTAAGCTCAGTTCAATGACCACACACACATCGATCACTCGCGCCAGGAGTCAGCCTCACCTGGGATTCGGCTAGTCAATACCTCTTTGTGCACACTTGAAAACTGAATTTAACATACTGTATCCATCCATTGCAGCCTGTTCTGTGCAATTTTCTACCCAGCGAGATATAATGGTCACCCTTGAAAAAAAGATCTTTTGATCTCAAGGGGCTTTCACCTGGTTAAATAAAGGCTACAAACAAATAATGTGGCCAACAGTTATGCGTCATTTAAAAGAAAATATTTCTGACTCTACAATTACAACATGAGCATTACTACATACAGTAAATGTACACATCTGCTTTAGTTGTGAACTACTTAATGGCTTCGGTTGTATCGTAAAGTCGTGAACATGATGTCTTATATTCTTTCAATATTCTTGACATTCAATGTTGGCAAGACACAAATCAACAATTTAATTAAATCAAGAATATAGTACACAAAACCACAATATTGCAGCTAAGTAATACTACCATTTTAGATGTTGGATGGCTGACCAGAACATTTTAGATACTGCCCGTTGCCCCGAGAGGCTTCATCGTTTTTTGTACCAATAGTCAATGGGTTCCAAGTTTGCCCTCCGTCTAACAATAAAACTTCTTAAACAGTTTGACGGTTTGAGGGATGAACCATAGCACAACCTGTTAATTCAAACTTGTGTGACTCTAAATCTTCTATAAGATGACATAAGCTGACATTCTCGAAATAAAAACATAAGAATCTGAACATTTATCTATTCAAGTGTTTTTTATCGCTACCAATATATCCAATCTTTCTTTCTTTGTGAGCTTTGTTAACAGTGTGTCCGTGCAGACAGAATGTCCTGATTACCGAGTACAGGCTACAGCAGGACATGTGGCGTCGTCTCCATTATATGTGTGGCATGTCGACAGTAAATTGCAGTGTTCTGCTGGAGAACGCTGAGTGCAGCATGATGATGAGAGGACTCATTAGAGGCACTTTGCTGCAATCAGCTGATGGTTCAAGAACAAGAGTCCTCCTGACACCAGGGCTCAGGTAACGCCCGCTTCTCACGCCTGCCTCACTTCCTTTGGTGAGAACTCAGCAGCAGCTCTTTCCTTTTGCACAAACATAAGCTATGTTGAGACTCCTGACCTAGAAAAGAAACACTAAATGGTTTTCTTTGTGAGAACCAGCGAGGAGAGCTACAATTGAACAACTTTTCTACTTCGTGTAAGAGGGGAGTTGGTCACTCAAATTTGAGTTTTGGGTGTCAATTTTGGTGATACCAAGTACCACTACATGTTTTTAAAGCTCGGTTGGATGCTACAAAATCAGATGCTGTTGGTACCTGTACTTGTGGTTAAATATGTAAATTGTAATCCCTGTACATTTAGCTGTATGATGTCCTTTTGTTGTTCTGTTGTTTATGTTTTTATGTCTTCTTGTGGAACCTACTGCTGCAGGTCTCCCTTGAAAAAGAGATCATTCATCTCAATGGGATTTTACCTGGATAAATAAAGGTTTTGAATTGAATTGAATTGATACAAGACAAAGCAAGGTGCCTTTCTTATTTTTCAATAATTCAGTATGGGCTCAGAGCGGGAAGAGGATGAGATGCTCGTCCTGCCAAAGGCACAGCTGCGAAACATGCTCGCTTCTCATACCCTAGATTTAACTGTGACTGAGATGCATGGCAGAACACCTAAAACATCGTCATCCCTATTTCCAGTCTTCTGTATCTTTTTGGAATGTGCTAGAATAGGTACACGGATGACGGTATGGATCCACAGATGTACTGTATGTGTTGTTGTGTTCATTTTTGTGGCATGAATCCCTAGCAGTGAAATGGACTAAGAGTTTTTTAATGGGTGTGTCATCCTGGCAGTCACACACTCCCGTCAGATGTCCCCAGCACCATTCCAGGACACGGCACACTTCCAGCAGGCTGGGGGCTGTTAAATATCCATTATGCACTGTGTGTGTGAACTGGACCAAATAAACCACACCGCTGCCTCTCTGCTCGCTTACACCCAGCAACACGCTGTGCACTTAACTCGCATCAGTTGTCCGTCCCAAACTCCTCTTGAAAACCGTGCTCTCAGTAAGAGGTTAAATCCCCTCAGATTGACACAAAGGGAGCTTGGTGGAAACAAAACTGTGACAAAGGCAAAGAGTAGTAGCTGTAAGGACCTCACAAATGTATTTACATTTTCATTCAGAATCAGAAACAGGTTTATTGCCAGGTAGGTTCACACATACAAGGAATTTTCCTTGATGTCATGGTGCAGACATCAAATATGAAACAAGAAATCTAATATAAAACAAAAAATCTTTAAGGACACCGTAATAAAATATAGATAAATAGCAATAAAATAAAGCAGTAATTTACATGGATATAGAATGCTACACTGAACAACAATCGAGTGGGCCATGGTGGTGGTGGGGTTATGGTATGGGCAGGCGTATGTTATGGACGACGAACACAGGCCACTCGATTCACAACATTACCCTAACCCTAACCCTCACACCAGATACTGACTGGTTTTCGGACCCACCCAATAAAGAAAAACTGCATGTTTCAGAGTGGCCTTTTATTGTGGCCAGCCTAAGGCACACCTGTGCAATAGTCATGCTGTCTAATCAGCATCTTGATATGCCACACCTGTGAGGTGGGATGGATTATCTCGGCAAAGGAGAAGTGCTCACTATCACAGATTTTTTCAGATTTGTGAACAATATTTGAGAGAAATGGTTATTTTGTGTATATAGAAAATGTTTTAGATCTTTGAGTTCATCTCATGAAAAATGGGAGCAAAAACAAAAGTGTTGCGTTTATATTTTTGTTCAGTGTATGAATGAATGAATTCATTCTTGTGACTTAAAGGTGGGGTGGGTAAGTTTGAGAAACCGGCTCG